GTAACTCCACTCGAAAGCGCGAAGCGCGAATCTGTTATCATTGTAATAAACTTTGAATTCAACTTGAACTTCAAAACTTACAAAGACGCGTTAAGTTTTCTTTAAAGTAATGAAGAATTTTCGGGAAGAGCGCAAAAAGTTCCGAATCGATGTTCAGTGCTAGTCTACCAACAGCAACCTTCATAACGGCAGTGTTAGGGGCGACGTAGTTTGTGTGGGTATTCCCGACGCACCGACAGTTTCTGATCCACATCTGCATAGTCCGGTGATTCGTTATCGACGAAGTGCCATGTGACCACCAGCCCACATTCACCCAACTGGTATCCTCTATAACATTGAAAAGCTCAGTACTTGTAAAAGGAAGCGATACAGAACGATAAATGTTACTTGATCTTAAAAAAGGTATACTGTTTCGTTCCAGCGTAGATGTTCATAAAAATGCCCAAAACGGAAATCTTAAGGCAGTGAAAAAATAATGATATCTACGTGATATTCATAAGCAAGTTACTGTGAGTTGTTTCGAGGAATGACGCTTCGTGAACGTAACAGAGACCGGGTTGACACGGGAAAGAAATAAAGTAGTAAACTCGCCAACCTCCGGCCGCACCCTTAGACACTTATACAAGCTCATGTGGAGTAAAAAGAAAGAAAAAGTACTACCTCACAAGCTTGAAGCGGAGGCCTTCCATGACAAAGTGAGAATACAATAAAAAGTGAGAAGGCGTCAATAGCGCAGAAGGAATATGTTGCTTTTGCATAATTGGACTGCTCTCCTTATTCAGCGATGTTTGATTGGCCTGCACAGATTAACTTTATAAAAAGCACAAAAAACTTCTAGGTTGAGACGAGAACTGAATCTGCAAAGTGCTCGGTTAAAAGTTTCATGACAGGAAAGGACAAGAAAAAAGTTATAAAGGATACGCCGCCTACCATCGGAAGAGTAATATAGAAGCCAATTTACGTACAAGATGGCCAAAACTTATACCGTGAATAGAAAACAACGGGTCGTCTTTATCGGGCTCGTCAGAGCTGTAAGCAAGTTCCAGCCACAGCGAAGTGCTGCTTAAAACACGTGACGATTTTATAAGCGCAGTTCCTGCCGGACATAAGGAGGTAATGCTGAATACCAGCAGCTTCTAAAACTTTATATCACCGAAAAGCTCGTTTTCCCACGAATAAGGTCGCTCGACATATACGCAGCTAACCCCATCCAACACCAGATGCATGTGCCCTTCAGATTCCCCTTGGGTCGGTCGGTTCAAAAAATTTATTTTACTTGAAGTTTCTATTCAAGACTTGTGAGAACAAAAAGAAGGCTCTCTGCAAATGAGTAAACCTCTGAGAACTTTGACAAGAGCGGAGCCTGCAAGTGCAGCAACGTAACTAGTGAGGAGCACGGTAAAAAGAGGGGTAACAAAGAAACGTACACTGCAGGGGGGGCACAGATGTTTTCCCAGGAAAAAAGTGGAAATCGACGGAACCGCTACTCAAGGCGAGTCGGGAGACGGACGAGGCAAGCAGAAGAACAAGAGGCTTCAAGGTAATGTGAACAGTCATGTTGCCGCGTCTAAAGAACCACAAGTTATAGTCAAACAGTGGTGAGGAAACGCGGGAGATGAGAGGAAACCTAAAAAGATGGCCAACTTTAGTACCAAATACAGACAATCGATCCTTGCTGGACATAAAAACAGGAGCGCTATTCTCAACGCAGTGCCGGCTGCACACAAGAAGGAAAGCAGAAAACAGATAAAATACATCTATATAAGGGTACTTTGCCAGGGCCTGCTTAGAAAAACTGATCAATCGGCTGACACACTCTTTACGATAGCAAAAAGTCAAGGAGTTTAACTCAATGATTAAGGACCTCGAGACTTGAGCGAATGAGACTAAAAAAAACAAAATATGCGGTGAAAAATACCAGCTTCTGCCGCTCTGTATATAAGTGAGACATTGAGCAAAATCTCGCTCTAAACGATTGGGTTTTATTTTTTTTTTAAAAAGTAAACACGAAATATAGAAGACCTGCATATCCGCCTGGGCAACATCTTTATTGACGCTTTTGGTACGGAAAAATATCATCGGCTCCAAATCAAGACCTTTGAAAGGCCTAACGGAAAGCCGGACGCTCTTAATTTTTATGTTAGCACAGCTAGAAAGCAACCCTACTACAAAACAAAAGCACAGAGTAAGTAAAGGGTAAATGGTGAACGGGCGCAACAAAATAAGTGAGCACCATCGGAAATCTCAATCATCAGTACTTTCAAGGCTAAGACAGAAAAAACGGAGCCAATGTTGTCCTGCTTCGTGTGAAAAAAATTGAGTTGCAGAGAATAAAAGTCTTACCGCCCTGGCATGAGGACAAGAGACTAACGGAGCTTTCTGCTCACATAAGCTAAGAGTTATTCTAGGAACCTTGACAACTAATGATGTTGAAAACTGCGTATAAAAGAAACAAATATAATCTGCGAGATAGTAAAACACGATTAAGAAGCGAAGGAACCTGAATAGGTCGAGAGTTCCACACTCCTTGGAATAAATAAGAGAGTGGGTAGGAACTATCGTGGTAGCCTGAGCAAGGAGGAGACCATAAGAGCATACTACGAGAAAAAAGTTAGGCATAGCGCTTGCCTGCGCTATATCCGGGCTTGGTGGGCATAATTTTATCGATATATGTTGACAACAAGGTGCGTATACTCGTCAAGAGCGGTGGAGCTGACCGAAAAATTTACTAACTCACTTAAAGGGAGGTAAAAAAGTTCAAAAGTTCATACGGTTTATATCTTTTAAGTGTCCGAAACGGGACTCTCCTATTTTTCGAAAAATAATAATATCGTCATGAGAGAGAAAGGACTCAAGCTGAATTCGTAAAAAGAGGTTTTAAAAGGGGGCGTCCTCACAAGTCTGCCAAATTTTGACCTGCTCTAGGGAATGCAACAATTCCGTAGACGGTTTGGGTGCCATGACAATTTGCTTATAAGTAGCCAGATACGCCTTCCTAAGATCCCTTTGCAACTTGAGTCTGGTGTGAGTTTAGGGGTTACCTCAAGCAGAGGATTCAGCTAAAAAATACAAAAGGTAGTAACCTCGTCCAAGAAAAGGCTGTCCTCCGCTTAATGTTGTTTATGTTCACACACTCAATGGCGTAAAGCCACCAGGCAAGTGGATTTTCCTTAACTTTTTCATTTGGTCTCGCTCTCGACTGTAGACTGCGAATAGTAACCAAGTTCTGTGCGCAATTAAAATAAGCAATCTTAAGCACCAAAAAGTGGTAAAATGCTACAAAATAAGAATAGAGAGTATTGATGGATCTTAGCTGTTCGTTATCAACTATAAAAGAAAGATCTTCCACCTAAACCAAAAGCAGTTATTAATAATCAGTCAAGTTAAATATAGCACAATGACAAAGCAATACAGAAATAGTGATATGTAAATCCGGAAAGTCAGAAAGCAGTCCTTCACCCGAGACCTTCAATGAAACCTTAAATATAATTTCAGATCGGGTATTTCTCAAACTTGCATAACCAAATACTTTTCCTCTAACAAAGACGGGCTGAAGAAGATAACAAAGTTCCAAAGGTGCCCTTTCCGAACTGGAAATGAGTACCTTCATCCTATTATCCAATAAAATAGACTTGTCTTAATACAACAAAGAATAAAAAGGCGGTATTACCAGTATAAGAGTTCATGTTCGTCCTTCAACTTGTGAAGAAGTCGAGTTTCCCCAGGATTGAGGTACAACGAAAGTCGATCAATCTTCAAGAGCTAAGAGGAGTAAAAACAAGAAGGCAACTTAACAGAAAAAGCAGGTTCTACTTTGAAAATAGTAGGCCCGCCGCTGACATCCGCTGGAGGACAAGGAGACCAGTCAGGCGTGCAGGAAACAAACTCCAGAAGTTCGAGGGTGATCCCCCCCGAGAGTGGACTCTATAGCAAGGCGCTGAAACAAAAACTTAAATTATAGAGACATTGAAGTAATACTGCAAGATTCGATAATTCATCCTCAAAGCGAACATGCACTTTCTTGACTTCAAGATGGAACCGTTCGGAGGCCAGCAAAAAAAATTTATAAAGCCATAGCCTTATTATACTGGGAAATGAAGAATCGGGGAAAGAGTTGTCTAAACCTACATTTTAGTGATTTTAGTTTACAAAAAACGTGGCAAATCCAGAAACCTTTAAATATACTATATTATAAAAAATTAAGTTCCAAAACCAAAAAAATATGTTTTAAATACTTCACTTATATTCAGAACAAGAAAAAAACTTCTAAGTAAGTTACTAAAGTTAAAAGTACTTTTTTGTAGTTTATAATAAAATTCATCACAGCCTTCAGCTAATTTTAATTTACCAAGGTAATTCCCTCCCTTGTCATTCTTATATAGTAAAAATAAAAAAATACAGGTTTAAAGTTCAAAGTTGCAAAAATGATAAAGAATGGTCACTTTCTTTATCTTTTACAAAAATAGACCTTAAAAACTTCTACAGTTCTAAGCAGAATGTTAAAGCTTTCAAGGTAAATGTGAAATGAGTTTGTCCCTGAATGAAGAAAAGGTACCCGTAGACTAAGTTTCCCAATGGTACCTAAACAACAGTAAATGCTCTTTCTATCAACAAAAACATCTATAACTACCACTGATAAGTTTAAATGGGAGTTCTGAAAAACAAAAAATATTTTCTTTCAGTTTTAGGTTTTCTAATTCGAGAATACCTTTTGATGTTATAATTTATAACCACCAAAGACGAAGCGGAAAATAAGTATTAAAACTATTTATATAAAAGTAACCAGCGGTAAGTTTCAAAGTTATTATATCTTCATTAATATTTTGTATGTATAGGCCAAGAAAAGAAACTAATTTTCTTATAATGAAATTTTCGAACGGTGTCAGAAGGGTTTTAAGCATGACTTGGTCTAAGATATTGCAAAAGATATTTAACAATGAATATACTAAAAGCTAACAGTCAAAATCAGCTACCCATACATCACCATGTCATTAGTAAATTACATAAACCACAATAACTATACCCCTCATGGTCTAGCCTAACTGTCAGTTGATCTCTGGTCGCATCGTGTCTCCTAACTGGCGCAAATGGGTACACCCGCTTTCAAAAAATTCTGGCTTTTGTAGATCCTTTGATTAGTCTTTCACGCCCTATTCTTTATGCAAGTTGTAATAAAGATGCCATACTCCATTTTCTCCCTTGCTATACTTGTATGTTATAGTCGTATTTATTCTTCTCTTTTAAACACTAGTTTCATTCCACAAGTGCTTTGGCGCTACTGTCAATAAAGTGATAACTCACAGAACGCAGTTAAGAAATTTACATATTTAAAATTTACCGCTAATATAAGGGCTGCTTAAACTCTTAAGTACTATCCACGGGTCAGACTGATCCAGACGAGATTTAAATACTGTAATTTTTTTTTACAACATTTATTTCTTTTATGTCACCTACAGTAGTCCCACAGTAAATACATTATTACAAACTTCGGCAATTCTTTACCCACTCTTATTAACAGGAACTAATGTTGACAAGAATACGTGTCGGGTTGACCCTTCAGTAGTAAAAAATTGGTACAACTTAAAAGCTATGGATACTATATAGATAATAAAGTACGCCAAAATTACAAACGAAAATAAAAAAAATAAGGTAAGTGTAAAATAGGGTATTAAGTACAATTTGTCATAAACAAATTGTACATCAATTTTAATACTAAATAGGTAGTAGCTGGATAAAATTTCCAAAATACTCTAATTCTTTATAAAGGATGTGTTTGTACAATTTAGTCGTAAATATCTGCCTCATATCATAAAGCTGGTTTGGTTTCAATTAATTTTTAAGTTAACTTTGTCACAGTGTAACTGGGGTTAAAAAAAATATCAATCACTCGTCAGTTTTAAATTCTAAATCTTTAGTGATACCCTCCTACATACAACTTTTGCGTGGACATTATATTAACTTTTTTTACTGATAAATCCCCACCGACGCTAAAGTGGGATTCTCCTCTACCCCTTCATATGGTAAATATATTATTTAATTTTTAAAAAATATATATAAAAATATTTAAGAATAAATTGAAAGAGTATATTGGACTAACTAGATAAATATAGGCTGTTATGCAAGATGAAGTAATCGTAGATATAAAAACTTTATCTTTTTTTTTTTGGGTAGTAAAAAGCTATTTAATTACAAAGGAAGCAAATATCATTCTATATACTCTTTGCACACATTTCAACAGAAGCTGGGCTCAAACTAGAGCGGGTATGTTGCGCCTCCCACTACGCTAGAAGTTCACGCCCACTACAAGAGGGAACTTAATAAATTTAGTGTTCGAGCCTAACAAACATGATCGGTATAACCATCCTTTAAATACCTCCTACTTTAGTTCTTCCGGCACTTGACCCTCTCCTGACTTTTTTGCAATTTTTTTTATTAGTTTGGCTATGCATCACAGTACAAGTGCATCAAACCTTCTCATCCAGCGTCACTCTATACTTTTTATCATCGACTCTTAAAACACTACACATTTACTGCCTTAATCGAAGTAATTATACCCCAGTAATTCATTTATAAGTGCAGTTTTGATCACATAATGTAATGTAATAACTGTAGAAGGTTTTATTAAAATCTAAAATTATTTAACGAATTTTAATATATATGCTTTAAGTTCCTTTGAATCATTTATACTTCTTATTATAATCTTCTCAACTTTTTGAGCGATTATACTGTTAATTTAAAGTCGTTACTAACACAACGCTTGCTTTTATTAACAAAGTTCTTACATTTTGCAAATATATTAACAATTGCCTTTAACTTGCAAAAATTGAACAATAGGGATGTTATAAAACATTTGTGACTTATTATGAAATAAGGCAACGTTCACTATGACAACATATTTCATATTTGTTAAAGAATTAATTAACATTATCTTTTGTACGTGTTCTATTAGGACTAAGGTTAACTGCACGACAAACAGCTTTCTTCTTAATTTAGCTCAATAAAAGTTAATATTTATTATAGATTTTTAATTTAATTTTATAAGGAACGCCAACTTAAGCATGCCTCTTGCTTATACTCAAGCATATATCAAGCTCTCTCTAAAAAGTTATCGATTTTTAGCCACAAGACGATAAATTAGAAGCCTTCTAATCTACTACTATAAATATTTTTAATTTCCTTCTGTATCTTTCTCTACAAAATTAATCGACTTTTTTTTATTTTAATATTACAAATGGGGGCCTCACTTAGAAAAAAAAAAAGCACCATACAATTCAAATCTTTAAAGTATTTATGACTAAAAAAATATAAATAGTAAAAAGTAATTTAACTTGCCACGATATTAGCGCGGGGGCTGTATTTGTTCTCTGCTGCTAGCAGCTAATTAACAAGGTTTACCACGACTATGTATTGTGCAATGTATACATTTATGGTGTCCACCCACACATCACAAGTACCTTCTAAATTTAAATAATTTTATAAAACTAAAAAAAGCATCTAGCATTTTTGTTAATATCTAGTAATAGCAAAAAAAATCGAATGATTTTAGCCAGATGGCTTTGCAATTGGTTCCGTTTTATATACATTAAAAAACTTTTAGGTCACATCATTTAAAGTTACAAAGTAATAAATAGCATAATTTAGTTTTTTCTTATTCATTCATATCTTTATTTTTTGTATAAATTTAAATAAAAAATAACTTAGTAAGTGTAAGTAATCTATATTGTACTTATAAAAATATATTAAATGTACGCTGAATGTAAATTGGCAAAAATATACACAACTCAACGAGGTAGAGTATATAATGAAATCAACTTGACACTAATAAGTAATGTAACTGTAGTATAATATTAATTTTATATTTATTTTGTAGATTTTGCCATATACTAAATATTTATGTAGTATATAGGCATATTGCACAACAAAACTTTTAATAAACTAAAATATAATATTAAAAAATTGGATATAGTATTTTCAAATAGCACACTGAACTACTATATGGAATAAACCGGTTACATTACAACTTAAGAATGTATAGAATTTAATGAAGGTTTTAAAAAAAGTTCGTCTTTGTATTTATAAATTTACTGTTGAACACATTTCCGTTAAATTAAGCACGTTAGCTGAAATGCATGCTATGTTATTATTGTGTATTCACTTTCAGAAAAGTTTTTATGTCTAAACTTTAAAAAAAAATCTCAAAACTAATATGTAAGGGTTAGAAAAAAAAATTAAGTCTCGTAAACGTATAAGGGGGCCATGGTGTACAACTTATTACACGATCTAGTAATAACGTGCTAAATTAATGTTATATGAGATGAACCTAATATGTTAACTAATTTCGATTTACTGTTCTTCAGACATTTTTTGAAGGAGAAAAAAGGAGGAGAGCGACCGTTCTGCTCCGTGGAAGAAGAGAATACGCTCAAAAAAGAAATCCAAAAAATGTTGCATAAAAAAAAAAAGAAAAATTATAACGGTAAATTATATAAAGGAAAAACCCCATTTTCAAAAAAGAGTTTTTAACTCTGTTTATTTTTCTGGTGTATACAAAATATGTAAGTTACTAAAAACACATTTAATTAACTAAATTAATGAATTTACATAAGGAGGTTATTAGCAACTACCGATCATGACAAAAAAAAGGTTCGTTTATTAGTGGATAGGCCAATCACAGGTTTCTTGCGAAGTTAACTACGAGCCCTGCTAATTTTTGGCTCACAAATTATCTAAAGACTATGAGATACTAAAAAAACCAATATTTAAGACAATCCGCCTTTTTGAGGTAACTTAAAAAGCTTAGAACCCGCTAATGAATTACTAATTCTTGACTTACCTAATTTAATGGGGATACGATGGTCGCGAAGAGGACCTTAGTTATAACTAAAAACTTGTAACTTTAAACCACATTTTCTTTATTAATATAGTATTTTACCATTTAATTTAAAGCCCCATGTACTCTAATAGACCAACGCACGCTATCTAAAGGGGGAGATGTTGTGAAACAACGGTTTTAAGTTCGTTTGACAAAACAACAAGCGACTAGTGTGACTAGCTCTTTTCTAAAGTATTTGTGAAAACAAAATAAAACCTGTGTGCCAGAGTTTTGTATAGAAACAGCCAGGCGTTTTTACCGCTGGAGTTGACATAAGGTTCATTAAATAATCGGTAGATGTTCCAAGGCGATAAGCAGTTCCCCAGCAGCGTAGACAGCTGACAGTGCGCTATAACTTTCAACGGTCTTTTAATAAGAATGAATTCGGAAGTGATGCTTCACCGCAGCTGTAAATAATGTCCTGTTCGTAAAATGACTGTCTAAAGTTTCGTTGTAGTCTTCCTTTGGCCTAACTTCAGTAAGACGGGAAGGTGATTTGACGAAAACTTATGTAGCTCGGCGATCGATACCGGTGGTGGATGACTTTTGAGAAAGTTATGTGGAATGTGTCCGAAATTCCTGTTTTTGCCATGTGTGTAGAGCGTTGGGGTGATAGAACGCGAAAATTGGGTTGGTCTAAGTACTTGCTAAGTATTTCCCGAGTTATTATTTAACTCAATTGTTCCAAGCAACATGTTTGCAGTTCAGTTCATTATTCCAAAAAATAAGGGTAATTTATATCTTTAAAGAGAGTAAAAGAGAGACAGACCGAAGTTTAATATATAACTAAAGAGCAAGTTTGTGGTAAGATTGTGTGGAATGTTCGAAAGGTTTTTAAAACCTTAAGTAATAACCTTATTATGTGGGAACTTTGTAGGGTAAGTGGGGTGTGCTAAACCTCTTAAGCGCTGGGGTTAGGCAGCTAATTCTATTACTAAGTATAAGTTGTTTTGTTAAAGTAACCCATAAACCTAGTATACTTTACCTCCTTGTTCTGTTATTAGGCTATGTAGCTTATTAATACTACGTGATAGGGCTAATATAATACTAAGCGGGAAAACAGCGGATTTTTAATGTATAGCCCTTCACACTGGCTATTCCATAATATTTATCCCATTAAACAGCTCTTATCAAGAAACTATAATGTTACCTGCTTAAATTTTACGACGTCTATATGTTTAACTAATACGGGGCAAAAACAACGCACAAAATAACTCAACACTAACAGTTCCTATAAAAATTACGACAAAATTTAAATTTTGAATTGTAATAGCGGAGGTTAATATCCAGGGCTAGCTTTATTACGCAGATTTTATTTACTTCTCTTTTCAAGGTCATATGGCATTTTCACCAGACTTTCGTAAATATAAATTTTTCTTCCCTGGCTAAATAAGAGTTCCTGCACCCTCATTCCTGACCTTTGTAGATTAATAACTCCAGAAAATTGATAATATATGTGGCAACCATATGCTAAAGAGTCACTAGCATAGTATTAGTATGGCCAGTAAAGATCCTCACTTGGCAAAAAATAAGTAAACCTCTAAATTCCATCGAGAATATGTGTCTAAAGAATATTTTTAAACAAATAAATTTACATAACTCCTCTGCAGATTTCCTTCGTTAAATCCTTTCAGCCTTATAACTAAGTCATCCCCTCTAAAGATTTAACGATATAACTTGTACCTTACTTTAAAATATGTGGAAAAGATTATCTATTATATTAATTTTCCCGCAATGTTTTTATAGTAGAGGTTGCTGAAACACAGGTGGATTTTACAGATCACTTAACACTTATTACCTTAGTGTGGTTATTTTAACAAACAGATTCTTCAACTTAGAATTAAATATTGGATTGTCCGCCTAAATTGACATCAATATTCTTTTTGGGTTATCTACCGTCAATATTTGTAATTTTAGTGGAATACGTTGAAGCCTCAATTAAATATTATTAAATTGTGCTCCTTCAAAACCGAGCACTCTTGTAAATTAAAAAACTGGTATAAGAAGAGGTGGTAGCCAGACTGACTGCGCTATAAACAGTCATATACACATGCTTAAAGCCTCCGCTAACCATTTTGCCTGCACATGACTTAATAAAGCTCGCTCACCAATTTTATTGCATTACACGCCTTACTCAAACAAACGCACATGGCATTGGAGGCAATAAAATTTCGATTCTCTTTCTTTCGAAGCCACTGCGAGAGTTACAATTAAAAATTAAAAGAGCTGTACAAATAATTTATTATTTTACCTTTGTCCAACCTCTTGTGGCAAAAGTTGCATAAAAAGTGGTCTCTATGAAACCGTCTTTTATTGGAAACTGTTATGTAGTCGTCGGAAATGGGTTTGCCACAGTACTCACAAACCATTCCTCGCACTTCGCAGAAGTGCTCATAGCAGTAAGGCTTCTCGGCATGCTCGTAGAAAAGGCCTTCTTCAAAGAGCTGATTGCATGTAGCACAGCGAAAGCAGTCTTCATGCCAATCCTAAAAGTAAAAATAAAGCAAAAGGCTGGTTTTGGGAGAGAGTGGTTATTACACAGTCCATGGCGGAAATAAGCTGGTCCATCACGGGCAAACCGCAGCCCTTACATTTTGGGGCAAACATGCGGAAGTAATCTTCCTCGCAGTACGCTTTACCGTCCACTTCTCGGTAATTCTCGTCCTTAAATACTCTTCCACATTGCGAACAGAAAAAATGGTCGGGATGCCACACTCTTCCTTAAGTTTACAGAAATAACGAAAATAGTTTGACCACGTACGCTTAAAAGGCTCATATTGTGTTAAAAAACCTAGCGCATGAACGCACATGTTCTCAATTAACTCTCCGCAGTACGCACACTTAAAAAAGACCAGAGCATTGTAGTCAGAGCGACAGTACGGCAGCCCTAAAAATGAAGTTATTAATTTTTATTCAAAAGTTAAAGAGCTCCGAAAAAAATTTAACGCATACTATATAAATAAATAACAGTTAAAGACAAAAAACTTATTTATGATGTAATACACGAAGTGCGTGATATATAAATTTATGGTGTGTAACAAAAAATATTCAAGTTCTTTTTTGAACCCTTCGCCTTTTCAGCAATTAGTACTGTTAAAAGTCTTGGGATTAATAAGCACTCTTTTTTAACAGAACCTCTCCACAAATAGCTTTAACAGGTAAAAGTTGGTGAATACTGATTCTAGTTTTTCAAGTAACAGAAAGCTAAGTTCACATAACTTAACACTCAAAGTATTAGCCCAAAACATATAATATACGGAAGTCTTTAGAAAAAACTAGTACAATGTTTACTAATAGATAGCAAGGTTATACTATCTCAAAATCAAAAAAATATAAAGTTTAATTGAAGTATAAAACTCTAATTATTTAACTTTACGAGCTTTGTAAATCGAAAGATTTATAAGTAAAATAATTTATTCAGAGGATATCAAAGCGTGTAAAAATTAGTATGAATAATTAAGTTTATCATTAAGTTTATCAGGTGTAACCTCCATAGTCAAAAAAATTCTTAGAGTTGAGCTGGCTTTTACAAGTGTAGCAGCAAAAGCAAGTTTCGTGCCAATCTTTTCCAAGAATGGAAAAAGGCTGGCCTATAATAGGTTTCTGGCAACGAAAGCAAACAGTTTGCTTAAGTTCTTTATCACTAAGAAATAAATAATCTTCATGCTTTACACTTACATATTAATATGTATATAATTGTCACCTTTTTATTTGGACGTCTCTTATATCTTTATCAATGGGAGCCGTATTCTCAACGATTTCCTTGTCTTTAATAACATCCAACTCTTCTATAACTAAAAATAAAACTTTAGTTTTTTTATAATTCACAAAGTAAAGTTTATAATCGATAAATTAGATGCCACCTGTATCGATGCTCCCCAAAGCTAGATCAAGTTCCGTATCTACTAACGGCTGGAAACAGCTTATAATATGTAAGCCTACATTATAACAGCTACAAACATTGTGCAAACCTTTTTGACTCCTCCACAACATTTGTTTTTTTTGATAAAGAATTCTTAGGTTCATCTTGTAAAATAATCTGTGAACTTTCTTTTTTTTCATGGACTTGTTGCTTTATAGTTTTATCTTCACTGCTTCCAGGTGTAAAGCTTTGTGAAGAAACTTAGAAGTTTATTTACATTCGTATATAAATTGGCTGTTATACGGTTTCGTATAAATTAAAAAGTTTCTACCTTTAAAACCTTCCAATTTTTTTAAAAGCAGATCTAACTCAGTAGTAGGAGTTTCGGTGGGCTCCGCTCCTCTATCATTCTTTAAGTTCGAAAATATACCATCTAGTTCATCCATTTTTTATTTTTATAAAGTAAGGTAAGTCGGCACCTTGCAGTATGCAAATAATCAGTTACTCTTATCTGCCTCCATAAAGGTAATGTCCACTTGCCATTTTTGGGTTGGGCTGTCCACTACTTTTTAACTTAATAAATTGTTCTATTAATTCTTACACTGATTACATATATATTCCACAGAACTTTATTGACTACTGGAGAGCTTAAAAAGTTCATTTCCGCAAGCTTGAATTTGTTTTTACTTTTTTTCTTTAAAATAATTAGTTTATGATGTTAATTATGCCTAAATGTGTTTGTATAAGTTGTGTATATGGTTTTGTTTTGTGTATATTTCTTAATACAATGCACCCCCACTGCCGTTAACCTTTTCGTTGTATTCCCAAGCTCATATCGACAAAAAGTTGTCATGGCCACACGTAAATTATGTAGCGGTAAAATCAAAGCGTTGAATCAAACTCTGTATCCATAAATTTGTACCTACAGGAAGTATACGGGCCTCTAGACTTACCGGCAATCCTTCCCATTATAAGCGGGACCATAAAGACTGCTACGCTCTATGATGACCTCGCCGTGAACCCTCCGGACCAACGCGGGACGCATCCATAGTACAATTGCCGGAGAAAAGGGTTTGCAGTCTACGCATTGCAAATATTGTTACTCAACAACAAGCCTTAAACCGAATCCTAAAAGTGACTGCTTAGGGCGGTGACGTCGCTGTCAATGTCTTCTCCACAGCTTACAGAATTGCACATCACTCCACGCTGCGTGAAGTTCTGGATCATCTAACGGAGGCAAAATGAGAGAGTTTTAAGTCCCCTTTAAACAGTTTTTCTGTCACTGTTACTTAACAGTTCGCAGAACACCATCACTAACGCCGCCGAGCTCTCCTCTAAGGATGAATTCACAAAATTTTTCGTATACAACAATCTTTTAACAGAAACAGCAACAATTTAGTACCCTGCAGCAAATAAGTGAATAATGGAAGCCACTTGCATCTTCTTTCAAACATTTTTCCTCAAGCGATAGGCAACCTGATGACTGTAATTGCGCCACCTCTTGCAGTGCACGCAGTTAGCGTAGCACTGCAAGAAAGACGAACTACCGGAACTGCTGCATCGTATATAACTAGGATGTTGCGCTTTAGAGCGAGGCGTAACTGAAAGCGGTTATGAATGTGTCCATAAGCATTTAAACCATCAGTGGGCTCAAGACCGTACATATGAATCATAAATAGGCGCACATTTTCAAATGGCCCGCATGCGCTATAACGCATACTCTTCTTGTTTGTACACACACACACACATATATATATATATATATAGTTTTAATAACAAGAGAAAAAGGGCCATTATTGTATTTTGTTAAAAGCACCGTTGATGAGTTAATTGAGTAAGAATTAGAAAAGTTAGTTCAATAGTACTACTGTATACTGTGTCTTCTAGGCAGCTTTCTTTCTTGCTCAGGGATTATATGTTAATTATTCAGATGGAGGTGGGGTAGTTAAACATCAAGATTATGACATCCTCCTGAAAAGTAAAAAATTAGGCCGTGATTACGGTACCTACCGTAATTATTGTTACCGTGCCTTTGAGAGACAAGAAAACTAGACCAAGAGTCGAAAAATTATTTCTTTAGATGCTCTATTTAACCCGAGCTAAGACAGACACCTCTCCTAAATAAAATAAAAGTAGAAAGTTTGATGTAAGATAACTCTATTAGCTAAGAACGGTACATAATACGTAGTAAGACCGGATATTGCTTTATCCCACTTATAACTCTTTAGCTTTAAAGTATTTGCTTTTTTGAGCACGATGTTAGAAGTTATCACACAGTAGCCACGTAATATCAGCTCCAAAGCATAAATACTTGTTTGTAATGTTAGTTCAATAGCACCACAGCATTGAAGTAGCAAGATAGAACCGTGCTAGAATTGTGCTAGAATTGTACCTATTTGAGGAGTAGGCACTATTTTAGTAGCCGATTGAGGAAGAATTAGCTAAGTTAGTCAATGAATAGTACGCCTAAGTATTTAGAATGAGAATGAATGCTATAGACGCCGCTACCACAGCTTCTAAGCGTACCTGCGGGTCATGTCATACCCTACGAGGGCTTAAGGTCTTACATAACTATTTAGCGATTAACAAGTGATGCTATACACATGGTTGTTGTAATGAATAAAACGCTTCATCATTGTTATTATGGTACCTTCTTGTGGTGTGCTCTGGGGGGTCAGAATTGTACTTTACTTAGGAGAGTTCTAAAGTTGCGTGACGCATGGTTGGTAACAACTGCCCTTAAAAATGGCGAAAACTCGAGGCGGGTTGAGCAAATTGGCAGGTGAAATCTCCCCTGTAACATGAAGCAGCCACGAATGGTTAGCAATAACAAACTTTGTTCACTAACGAGACTTGTTTGAACCCAATGTTGGCTCTATAGGTTCGAACCAAAAGGCTAAATAACCTTACGGAATTATAAGCTTTGCGTTGAGAACTAGAACTGTCTTCTGCAGCTAGGCATAGTGAATGAAGATCTGCTGGAACCAAGCGCACATACACAAAAACACAAATAGTTTGGCGAAAACAGCTAAGTTATGCTAGCAACTACTTCAATCCGAGTAACTAGGTGTCACCGAAAACCATTGAAATAAGTTCTACCATGATGAGTGATGTTTAAATAGCACTGTTGCCTCGTGCCTGAGCTGCTGGTGGCTGGTTGATTGTCCCACTGTCGCTGGTGTATAACAGTGCATGTTACCATAATCTATAGAAATTCTGTAGGGAAGTGTAATAATGTGTACTATTGTACTATTTACTAGTATTTTATATATATAACGCGACGATCCTATACAAATCTAACGAAGACCGGTGCAAGTAAATTAAAAGCGATAAATCAGTCTGCGTGACACAGGAAGTTAGCCCCTATCCTACTTACGTTAGTTACTATTTACTTGAGTAAGAAACCTTCAAATCTTTGATCAGCAACACAAGGACCGGCGACTTCTTGCTCAAACCGTTATAAGAATTCATAAATTAGTGCTAACAAAGCTAAAAGTCAGAACTAAGCATGAGATACTAAAATTCCTAACTAGATAGTTAATCCATTTAAATCTTGTAGGTCCCTTTGGTTAGTTATAGAATAAACGTCAGTACAGAGAAGTTAATTCACTGTTCATAGTTTATATCATATATTTGGATAGGCTTGAATTTTTCATCTCTTTTTCTTTCTCTATTAAACACACCTTTTTTAGTTTTAGTATTTGAACTCGATACGACTTCAAATTGACAATTATTGCATTTCATCAAACCTCCAATCAACAAGAGTTCTCTAGAAGAATTGTACAATGTTTAACAATGCTCTTACTTATTAATAATTGTATACTTATTAATTTATATTTCTATTTACTATTGATGATAAGATCATTTAATGCTAGTAAGAAATTAGTGATAGGCGGGGAAAATTGCGAGACAGCGCTCTGCATTATTAGTAGTTGACCAAAACTATGAACATTTTTGCCGTGATTAATTTTTAACAATGAGATATATGTAATCCTATCTTTGACTTTACCTTGTAGTATTCTAGTTATAGATTTTACTGTTATTTTATCCCATGGTTTACACTATCCTATTTAAATGTGAGCTCTAGTTTGGTTATTAAAGTTTATTATCATAATTGATAGGGTTCACTTCATTGATATCATAGGAAATGATTGGGCAAAGTTATCTCTCGAGATACGATTTTTAAGACAAGGTGGTAGCCAATCCAGCGCCACCATTCTTCAAGCCATCAACGACTTCGAATTGATTAATTTTACTCGCTCTAGGCTGATTATTAAGTTCTACTTTGGTAGAACAAAACTAACGAACATTCTAGAAATGCTAATTAGTTGTTCTGCCGAAGGTGAACGAAAAAAAGTAAGAACTACTAGTTTTCTCATATACCACTACACATACTATACTATACATGAGAAGACAGCACTCTTTAAGTTAATCGAGTTACACCTGCCAAGTACTGTACGTTCATACATAGATATAACACTAGTGTAGTAATATACCTAAACACTATTTACATTACTGCAACCATAATTGGAAGCATGCGCTATTTCACTCGTCATAGCAATTTACTCAAGTGCTGAGCGAAGACTTACAAGAAAGACACAACAAGCACCTAGACAAGATACAAGGAGTGTCGCTTACGTACAACTCATTTATAGCACAGAGGACAACCACAGTTTTCATCCGCAACTATTCGCCTTTGTTAAGTTATCTCATACTATAAACTTAGCAAAAGACGCACGCCGCCTCGGGATCTGTGGGACCCAAGTAGAGAAGCACGAGGCAACGCACGAGCAGTAACTTAGTATATCAACAGTAGCAACTATTTGTCACAAGGTTAATTAGCCAAATGATTGTTCATTGAATCGACATTCAAGCAAATAAATTTTTAAAATGTTCTCTTCCTCACTCCTCTCTAAATTATAAAATCCCTGCACACCAACTTTTTATCTTTTGTATATTTCTCTGCACTCAACGCTAAAATCTAAATTTTTTTAAATTCCTCTCACCTAACATTACCTACTCCGGATATGTAAAGGTACTTGTATCATATTTCATTCTCGTAACATAGTTTAGTGGTCTCAACAGAGGTGTGAGATTCGTGATTGTCTAGGAGTAGCAATATTCGATTGGCCTGTTAAAAATTTGGTTAATAGAATATGTTTAATGACAACAGGGAACAAATCTTTGGTAATCCAGCCCGACCTTCGCCTAAGACCAGACTGGTTCCGGGACCGTCAGTAAAATATTCCTCGAGATGTCTAACCCTTGAAAATAACTAAACCGGAGGAATCGGTTCTACTACTACTCGTTATATAGGAGACCTGAGCAACTTATTTTTTACCTTTTGTGGTTACAAATTTTACAGGTCTCATAACTGTGGTTACTCCGGTCGTATTAGGGTTGTTTCACTGGTCAAGTTTATACTTATTTAGTTATTAAACAAACTTAAATTCAAAAATTGCTGGACCCTTTTCTTTTTAATAAACAGTACTTCCTCGTACTTTACATTACTTGTGAATGGTAAGTCATTATGGCGAAACATGAAATCCACTCATCTACCCAATACCTAAAATTTTAAAAAACTTGCTTAACCGCATACTTCTTTCGGAATAGGATCTGTATACATATCTTTCTTTCTGACTAAGTTTAGTTATTTTCGACAATCCACAAAGTTTTGCCAATAACCCCCAATTTCTAGTCGCTTCACTAGTACTGCACTCTTTTCTCAAGCATTCTTATATAGCTTGCATATCATTTGCCGTTTATTCCTCTCTTTGTCTTCTGAACGTATTTTTGAGGCTTTTTAAGGAGTATATTTTAAGTTGAAATAAAATAGTTTATTAAAAAGGTACAGGAGGTGCCGACCACTGGTTTAATCTACCTCTAAAAGGTTACTTAAAACTACTCCAAGCACCAAACAAAGAAAATATGACGGTAGTTGATGTAAGGTGAATTGTCGTATTGAAATATAAAGGGCTATTGGCAAACATAATATAGTATTACTTAACAGTGATAACCTCGAGGTAATACAATTCTAAATATTATTAAAGTTCAAAAATGTTTCATGAAAAGAACTTGCCTTGTACTGCCTAAAAACAGAATCACACACAAAACTAACAACTGTGTTTATAGCATCTCTACGTCTTAGCACAAACTAACATAAGATCAACACATACTCCTTGCACTAAAACTCGGGCGGATTATTTAAACAGTGTATTACTGGCTTAATCTATCTCGTAGTTGGATCATCCAACCCGAGGCTTCAGCTCTTTGGTGTTAGCTGCCAGCTAATTCAATAATTTTTTTTCTCTCCACATCATGGTAAAAACCTTGCTGGCTGTTATAGCCCATCTGACCCTCACAGTAGCGTTTGCTTCTCTGAGTCGGCAACTCCATTATAAACTTCGAGAAACCCTCCAAGTGGGCACAGAAAATTTCTCACTTTAACTTGCCTTCTCTTTCAGTTTTATATTGAGACACTATAATAGTTAATCAGTAAAAAAATACACCTATAGGAGCTGGAATAACAGGTGCAAAAAAAAATCTTTTGTTAAGATTATATATGCAGCCAAAGTCACTACTAAATAAAAAATTCCTTAGCCCCTCCCGCAAGTGCTTCCTTTACGACTTTTCTCATTATATAGTGTAATATAAGCTGCTTTTTTACACTGCCAAATGAGCTATAATATTGTAGGTGCACTTAGGGCATGCGTCTACTAACTATACGTTAGGGTAAAATATTATCGAAAAAAAAAAAAGGCTGTTAGAATTCGTCACATTAGATCGGACAAAAATATGCTCACGCAAGATTATATAAAAGGAGGAGACAGACCTTTCATGGATTTTATAAAGTTTTAATTACTTAAATTATCCTCCTGAAAGGTTTTCTAAATATTTTTGAAGTAATTTTTGAAATAAATCTATAATCTTTTTTACCACAATATAAAGGTGTAAAATTTTTTTTAGTATTCAAATTCTCTTTAGTCGGCCTATAAAGTGGGCAGATAACTCGCCATGACAACAGTTATTTCATAAATTTAGTAAAATAGAAACATAATAAAACATTTGAAGTGGAAACTAATAGCACATTCTGAATCCTAATTATTAATGTCAGCATCTTATCCTTTTTATTTTAAGTAAAATTCCCTCTCCGAAAAATATCCAACAAAGACTCACGTGCAAAGCATAGTACAAATTACTATATTTAGTTAATATCTATGAACTTTACGAACGAACTGCACGTCCGATCTGTCTGATCTTTGTCTTTGGGGAAGTTTTAAAATAGTTCAATAAACCTGCTCCCTATCTTCACATCAGTTTTGTTAATATATGCATTAAAGTTAACTCTAGTAACTAAGAGACTAGGGGTCTTAACTAACATTTGTAAAACATTGACTATACCTTAAGAAGACAGTTTTTATTGTTCCATCCATTACTTTGTGACCTTTACTGAGCGTCGTACAACTGTCTCGTCCATACAATTAACCATTCAAAATATTATCACTTTTTTCTGAAATGCTATGAAGTCAAGACTTTTTTGATCTGATCTGCAGCTCAATTACGCCGCAAAGATTGCATGCCACCATACGAATTTGCACATTTTAAACTAATAGATTGTATTGTCACACAATTTTTTGCAGAGCCTCTAAATATATTTTCATTAGTTACTATTAACTATAAAAAACTTTTCCCTTCGTAACTGTTCTTTTCAAAGATTTTATTACAACCTTTAAGGAAAGTTTAAAACCAATTAAATATTATGCACAACTATTTCCGCAAATCATAATAGAAAAAGTTATAATACTAGAACTTATTATTTTAGAATTAAGTCAATAGATTTATACCTAAGTTTATATAAAACTTTGGGGACTTTTATGTGCGATATGTTATTACAACTTAAATAATGTAAAAACTATACTAAACGTACTACCTTAGTTAGCTTTGAAGGATTTCAGTCTTTAAATGCAATTGTGTATATATACTCTTTCTTCAAAAAAACTAAAATTAAAAGTTATACCACCTTTAAAATAGAATAACCTATGTTAGGATTACTTCAACTCTACTTTTTTATTAATATACAAAAGTACACAAATTTCTGGATAAAAAGCTAATATAAAACGTAACTTCAGCTTATAATAAGAAATGTAGCAAATAATAAACAGAAGGATATTTAATTATAAATATTTATCTGGTTAATACCCGTTGAAAATAACCAATCTATTAACCGAGCCCTGAAAGCCCCAAAATTTGACTTGCCATGGAGAGAAAGTATTAGGCCTATATGGCGTACATGAATATAGTAGATGACCTATTGCGTGTGCCGGAAGGCTTAGCAGGGGATGGACACCAGTTTTTTGTTTTATTTTGTAGAAAGCAGAAATATTTTCCTGTTGCCTTACTTTGTGCAACTACATAAAATTTTGCCTAGAAATGCTTGATAACGGTATACGACGCTCTGACCTGTTTGCCTGCCCCATCTTAGTTTTCTTTTGCTGTTTAGGTACTTCTCTATGGGTAGGTGATATATCACCTCATATGGATGCATATTTCATGCAAAGAGCCTTTATGAAAGCTGGCCACCCGTGCCTAAGTTTCAAGGTCATAAAAGATAAACAAACCCAACAATGTGCTGGTAGGTTGAATTACAGTTTCGCTTTTTTAATCATACTTTTACTTTTACACTTGCCTGAAGGATACGGTTTTGCAAACTTTCCTACACTTGAATTGGCAGCTAAAGCGTTATCTCTTCTTAATGGGACCCTTATACCAGATTCTAATCCGCCCGTACTTTTCACTTTAATTTTTTCTTGTACAGTTAAATAGTTTACTTGAATTCTAATTCTTGCTTTTTAAACTTTTTTAGACTTATTTTAGGCTTGGATGGGCTACGCATAGTCAAAATAGCAATCCTTATTCTGTCCCTGGTTATGGAGAAGATTTTTCCGTTTATGTGGGAGATCTATCATCCGACGTCACTGAAGTCCAGTTGTTGGTACAAATAAAATTTATGTACTTGACTCGAAGCTTTTAAAACTTATATTTTACATTGTGAAGGATTTTTTCAGAAAAAGATATCCTAATCTAAGATTTGCAAGAATTTTATATGAAAATGGGGTGTCTAAAGGATATGGTTTTTTAAGGTACACGTTTTCTGTTCGCTTATGAGAGCATAGCTACATTTTGATAAGATTTTTTGATGAAGCTGAGTACCGCCACTGCTTAGAGACAATGAACGGCGTAAGCGGTTTGGGAAACCGGCCGATCAAGGTTTAATATATTATTACACACTAGCCTGTTTGTGAGAGTCTGTTTATAGGTAAGAGCTGGGATCCCAAAAAAACAGAATACTTGCACCACTGCGGCAAGTATGACCATAAGTCAGTCGCCTCTGCTCAATGTTTTGCCCTCAGTATATGACGGTATAAGTTTGCTTGTTTAATGAATCCTATCTGTAACAATTGCTTTCTAGCATATGCCTACATAACGTGTTACGGCTATCGCTATGACGAGGGCCTTAAGTATTACTTCTCTTCGCCAACGGTTGTCGCCACTCCCGTATTGCAGCCTGCGAAAAATTATAAGAAAACTATACAAGCGAATAGCTTTTCCTTTGGGCCGTATAATACGAACGTTGAAAATAAAATATACGTTTCCAGTAGGATGAGAATGTTTGTAGAGCAAACAAAAACCATTTGGCCATCTGCCGTTTGTATCTCTCCGGCACCAAGTCCTTTCTATTAAATTAAGACAACAAAGTTAATAAAGTTTTTTTTTGACTACTTATTAGCTAACAACACTTCTCTGTTTAAAAAAAGTATTGGGTTACCTTATGACTTGTTTCCTGGCTTCGGGCCGTATAGGAGAAGGTATAACATTTGAGTTTCAAGAAAGAAGCTAAGCATGAAGTCTGTTGTTCTCGGTTTACGAGAGTAAAAGTTGGAAATTAGTATTCCTCTTAAACTAATTTCATAAACTTAACAAGTGAGGTATGTCCGACTGCAGTTCTTCAGGTCAATCTAAGCTTTCTCATTGTGCGCTATAATTGAAAGTTTTCGCCTTAGCTCAGTAGTCATAGATCCATTTTCACCGAAGAATCCTTTTATGAGATTCTTGGTTGTTGCTTGCTTAACCACTCCCCCGAATATAATCTTTAGCATTTCAATTTTAGTATTCATCCCTCTTCACTACTTGCCAAATGCCCCCTTAAAACTTAAACGTTCATCATAAAGATGTTCACTGTTTCCCTTTTATTTGTTGCTTTAACGTGTATAGACTATTATATTTATAAAAAATATTTGTCGGTCCGGTTCCCAGTCTATAGTTAAATTATCTAGGTTTGTGTTATTTCAACACGCGCCATGGGTTAAAGACTTTACACAACGAAAATTACTTAAAGTTCTAGAATTCAATCTTTCCAGTTATACGACAATTGCTAAACTTACGAAACTGGGATCGGCCGCATATACTTACACACACAGGCTAATAACATCCTCGTCGGGGTAATTTGCACGATTAGCTAGGCTAATCCAATACTAAAGAAAAAGATACTAATGCAGCCAGACCCTAATCGTTGGTAACATATACTATATATAATATAACCAAAAAATTAATGAGTTGCCCTAGGTAAACTCCGGGGAACTAGGGCTCGTTGGAAAAAGAGACGCCCATTTTAACGTTGGCAAATCATAATTAAAAAACCACTGGATTTAGAAACTGTAACAAGCTATACTTCCTGTAGAGCAAGTTAAACCGATGCAATTTTATCACAAAGTTTTCTTTAGCAATATAAGTCTATTATATGTTGCTTCAACCGACTTTTTTTTAATACTCTTCACTATTTAATTGAACTTGAACATCTCCAACAAAATTCTAGGAGATTTTAGCTACTAAGATTAGGCTACGGCCGGGGCAATAAATATGTCACGTTTAAATTTGTATACCCTTCTTACACTATGTTATGTATTAGGGGAAGTGCAATAGAAACAAAACACCTTATAAGCCGTTACGATCTGAGAAGTCAAATCTCCTATACCCTGCTTAATCTGCGGCGGGGGGCCGGAAGGGTAACCACGTACTGCATTTCCACCCTTCAGAAAATCAGATCTTTCATCATACTCCTGGAAATGTGCAGGCGCCTTCTTACACTCGACTTGCCGAACATCCTTGAAAGTCATTAATTAAAAAATAAAATGTATGTATTACCTAACTATAAGAAATTTTTGTTTATTACAAGAAAGAGCTTTGAAGTACACCATGAATTGAACAATGCCTGAGTGTGTCATGGGTGAGAGTTTTAACTTTGATTCCCAAAGTTATTTTAAAAAAATTTAAAAGTAAAATTATATCGCGACAAGAAGGATAAGGTGTCAAAGTTGACCGCAAAATTAAAGAGGACGCTCCAAGTTGTGTTATTAACCCGTTATATTACACTGGTTTCCTACCCCTTACCTTAATAGATGTGTGAGTCGTTCAGAACCCTCTAATGCACAGGGCTAGGGTGCTCGGAGGTCTATAAGCTAGACTTGGTCCCCAGGCAACTTCAAAGATTTAGAAGTCAATCTCACTTCTTAAGACCCTCTTAAAGCCCAGAAACTACAACAACTTGTCTGCCTCCTGAAAGTGGTCCCCTGCCCCCACAGAGCATGGTGCCTTAATGCGTTAGAAATTTTTAGGCAAATACATAGAAGATCATATATAAATAAAAATATATATATACGAATTTAAATAAAAATAAAACAATAAAGAAATATAATAAAGAGGCATCTTCAGGTGGTTAATCCCACAGCATTTTAGATTATCCTTTGCCGAACTGATTATAGCCCGTAGTTATCGGTTTTTTTTGGCGCTGAGTATATCACCCCGACAAAAGATAGTAATAGACTTGTTAACTTTAATAACGCTTTACCAGGTAAAAATGAAATGGGAAATACATATAAACTACACTATTTAAAAAGCAAAACGAGCTGTGAGGTTATTATATACCTGTCTACAATGAAAAGTCATTTTATTTTAGAAAGGTCAAAGTCCTTTTTTTTAAGCATTTATTATTAGCCCAATACTGGTCTATATTTTACCCTCACGGGTTATTTTAAAAAAATATATTTCCAGCTTAAAGGTTTAAAGACTAAGAAAGGCAATATCCCACCTTGAAGAGAGACACAACTCAGCTTTTTATTTAGGACAAGCTAGCACATAAACTTGTAAGAGTCACGTATTTTTAAATCATAGCGATATTGTTAAATGTGAAGGTAGGACTATAATAAAAAATAACAGTTAGTCCTCTGAACATTTCACTTAAAATAATTAAGAGAAAGCCTTTGGAATTAGGTAAATTATAGAAGTTATAATAATTATAAAACTCTTGCAAAAAGTTAATATGAAGTGACTCTTGTTCAAGAACGACAAAAATAAAAAAATGGAGATATTGTACACAATAAACTCCAGACCTACATCTATACATGAACATTTTAAGAAAACACAAGGTTTATCAAATAATGCTTTTGTTGTTACAATTAAATTATTTTAAACTTTTTTTTAGATAAGACTACCCGAGAATTTTAAGCCTTAAGTTTTTTAAATAAAAATTATCTAAGAAAACTATAAATGTATAATCCGCCCTATAGAATAAACGAGGGCTATTGGACTCTTCATTGTATTTTTAAAACAGTTACAACGAATTTGATAAAAAAAAAATGTAGAAGCCTCCTGCCCTTAATGACTAAATTAGCATAAAAATTTCAGTATTTTATATAGATATAAGCTTTATCTCATTGTTCAAGTAAACCTTTATACCAACATTTTACACCAGTTTTTCTATTATATTTTTTGAATACCGCTGGTTTTTAGGTAAAGACAACCACTAAAAAAGAGGAATAAACTTAGCGTCTAATGGAAAAACATGTTGCAATGTTTGTGCCCAAAAATGCACCTATAAAAAATTCTAGTGACAACCCACTTACTCCACCATTTAAGTCCGGTGTTGCGCGGTGTTTAAAGTTATTATTATTTTTTTTTTAATTAACCCATTCTTTCATTACTTATTAGTCAAAATGCTACAGTTTAATAGAAGAACTATACATAGTGGATATACAGATAACAATACCAAAATATATTTAATTTTTATGAATGAAAAGCTTAATTCGTTATTATCATTCCGCTAAGCTTCTGAAAGTTCAAAAGTTCGCCTTTTGCGGTAGGATGATCGCTGGCAACTTTAGAGGTTTAATCATAACCTTTCATGTTATCATAACAAATTGGAACTATTAATGTAACGTCATTTCCAGCTTTGGATCCCACAGAATTGTAGAGAATGGCGTAAAATACTATAGGTAACAAAAGTTAGAGAAATATTCAATTTAGCCCGTTTCTTAAATATTTTTTTAATCTTTTGTTATGTTAGTATAAGAGTGATATCATAAGCCTAACAAATTTTTGTACACCCTTCAGTTGTTGCTTTTATTTAATTGCTAATAGCTTAGACTTAAAGGTAGTATTTAAAGTTAGATAGGTAAAAAAGCGGCTGTCAAGGGCTGAAAAAGTTTTCTTCGTCTGTGAGGTCCGAACTCACGACTTTAATAATTAAGTCAAAACTCCGTATTATTAAGCACGGCGAAACCTTAATGACATGAAATTAGACTGGGGCTACCCTCAAGGAAAAGGGGTGTTATTTAAGTTAACTCAGTGAGGAGCCCTTACAGCTTGAGTTTATTGAAGTCAACTATACATAAAAAAATAATAAATTAGTATGTTTAATGGTGGCGCAGTATAATGCTATTAAATTTGTAGCCCTTTTCGGGGGAAAAAAAGAAGGTTTGGGGCGGGAGTGGTACTATGAAGGAACTGAAGGCGGCTATCATCAAAAATATTGAACTCTAGCCATCCACAGGTCTTTTAAAGATTTTGGACTCTAAACCAGTTTTAGCATATTACACCCGCTATGCCGAGGCTTTCTTTAACGAGGAAACTTCTTAATTTCAACCCATTCAGGAATCAGTACCTTTCTTTAAACACCACGTCCAAAATTAAAACAAATTATAGAACTTATGGTTTATCCTCTAAGGAAAAAAGTTATAAAATTTTTAAAAATTTTAGAACTAAAAACGAAATTTTGAAAGAAACATCAAACAATTTCATGGAAGCTAAGTCTTTTAAACTAGGTTAGAAAGTATCCCTTTATTCTATTTTATATACTTTATCTAATATAGTAATAATAATATTGATTTTTCGGTTCCTTAGGACAATTAAAAGATTTGAAGAGCCAAGAGAAATTTGTAAACAAGTTGCTGTCACTTCTTGCCATAGCCAACACGGAAGAAAATTGTGGAAAATATATTCAAGTATGCACTGTTTATATCTTCCCCACCTTTTTATCTTTCTTATTTTTACTAACAAAGGCGATTAAACATTTGAAGGAAGCTTTAGTTCTTACACAAAAATATCTTTCGCCAAAGGAACCTTTACGGATTTTGTAAGTTACAACCTGCAATTTTAGCATTAATAAAAGTTCTTTAAGAAATTTTTTTGGCTAAAGTTACGACCTTACAGAACTCTGCTTTTGATTGCAAAGTTGCACGCAAGAATTGGGTACTTCAAGGAGGCCATGACCTACTTTGAGTTACTTCTAGCTGACGACTCTTTCTTAGTAAAAAGTATTGCCTCCCTTAAATCTGGTCAATAACTTTTTTTTATAAATCCTCTCAGTTTTTTATCACATAAGTTTGAGAAGGCACACGCGTTATTAAGTTGAGAAATCTTCCAATCGAAGATCTTAAAGGAGCTACTCGTGATAACATAACTGCTTGCTTTGGTTTGGTCGACTGCTACACGGAGTTCGGTTAAAAATTATGAATATTTTTGTATAATTAATCAATTTTCACTTCTAATTAGAAATGTATGATAGTTGCAAGCATGTTCTCAATAAACTAACGACTTACTCGCTCAAATCTTCTGATTTAAAGGTGGTTTACGCCGAGGCGTCTTTAAAAGTATGAGGCTTTGTTTTCAGTAGAAAATGCATTATTCACATGCTACCTCTCTACTAGCATGCGCTCAACTACCTTAGATCCGGTGATGTTTCCAGCGGTCGTTTGTGGTTAAAACGGTCTTGGTAAAAAATCTTTAGTAGTTATTTTTTAGTTTCTTTTAAGGTCTATAGTGCTAAATTATAGCTTTTAATCTCTTGTTTTTTACAACGGAAGTTACTTATAAACAAAGTGTTTTTGAGAGTTCGAGAGTGGGGTTTCGTCTTCTGTATTGGAAGCTTTGCCTACGCTGTGTTTTCACAAATAAATCTCTTCAGCAAATTAACTTAAGTGCCTTTTGTTAATTTATTATTTAAAATGAAACTACTGGTATCGTACTTTATAAAATAATCTAAATACCTTTTTTATTAACGTTTAAAATTGCATCCTTATATTTTTTTACCAGCGACTGCTTGACTGAAGAGCTTTTTAAGGAAAACTTGCTTCTCTACGCTACTATTAGCAGTTATAGAGCCGTTATATTTGTTGATAAAAGTTCTATTAGCGATTTGGAAGGCGGTGAGTCGCTTTTAGTAAAATATTGAAAAGTTTATAATATATTTTAAAATTAAAAAATATGTAAAGTGATTTTGATGTTAGAGGAAAGTATAACTTTGACGCTCGCCAACTTAAGAGACGTGATAAAGAAAGGTGGAAAGTTGTATACCGAAAAGTCCGAAGAAATACACAAGTATTATAAGGATCTTAATTCGGGGGGCAACCTTGAGAGTGGCTATTTGTTTTCTGTTTATTTTTTTTTTCTTACCTCGACTTTAAAGGCTCGCTTAGTGCTGACAAACTTGACACTCTCAAAGAAGATGGCCTGGAACTTACTAACTCAATACCTACTGAAGTTTTTAAGGGGGAAAAAGTTGCCGTTAATTTTGTACACTTCGCCTTCTGTAATTTATGTCTATGCAGGAGGCTCCTAAGGTGGACCTTGAACAGCATATTGCACTTTCATTGATGTTTGCTCTGGAAGCGCCCCTTGAAGATCTTCAAAGGAGACAACTTTTACTGTTGGACTGCCTCTACGAACTTTTCTTCCTGGAGTTTCGCGCGGGAGCCACACAGGACGCCTGCAATCTTCTAAGTACCGCACATGGACTTGCCTGTACTGCTGGCACCCTCCCAGCTCCGAGTAATCTCGTAAGCAGTCGTCTACAGCGGAGTGGGTGAAGGACTGCCTCTTTCCCACGACTTTCTTCTCTAATCCACTCAAGGTGAAGCTTCTTTTCACACAGTACATCTTTTTAAAGGCCTCAAGACTCGCCGGATCCACTGAAATTCCCGACGAGGAGGTCGCAGCCTTCACACCCTTACCATTTTCGCTTAGCTATTCTCATGCGCTTGGCAGGCTCAGCAGGTTCTTAAGGACTTAGTAGATTCTATACACGCTGGCGGAGAAGACTCAGTTATACTTATACGAAAAGAAATAAAGGTTAGATTCACCCTATACTTACCTCGTAGTTTTCTTGGGCTTATATTCCTGTAGAGCCTAGAATTGTACTTTTCGCTGCTTGTTGATTTGGTTGATCTGTCTACAAACCTGGGAAAGAAGGATGAAGCTGAAAAGTATGAAAGTCTACTTATTGAAAAAAAGAAGTTCTTTCAGGTGGAAGTACTTGGCCCCTCTCTGCGTACTTACTACGCGGGGCCGCTATAGTTGAAAATAATTCCCTCATGAGAGTACTTCTTACTGTTAGTAAAAGACATAATCCAACCGAACACCCTCAGCGCCTTTTCATTGCTAAGAGGCTTCACTTCCGGCAGAATTTAGGAGCTCCGACATAAACGCACCAAGTTAACACGGCTTATAAACTTTTATTTATAGAGTGGTGTCTATAAAAAAGGCCCGGTTTTTTAGCGTAGAGCACTGTCCATCTCTTGCAGGTAATTAGAAATCTAAAAAAAAGAAAAGTTAGGTAAGTTCGTTTCATTAATACTATAAAAAATCCCGTTAATAAAAATATTGAGGAAGATACTTTATTTAAGGAAAATTCGAACTCCTTATTCAAAAGCTTCATTTCTACATCTTGCTGACCTTTGATATCTCGAAACTAAGTTTAGGAGCTTTACTTATAACTGTTGGATGCGGCAAACTTAAAGGAAACCTTATCTTGGTGAGCAATAAACAACTCCTCCCGCTGTCGCAACTTTTTTTCCAAGACAACTTTGTCCTAAACAATATTTAAGGGGGGGAAGTAAAACTGGCCGCTTGCCCTATAGAAGAGCACCTCTCTGAAAAATCTCTCTTTTCCTTGCAGCTCACGTAATTTTGCTTCATGCTGTTGGCGAAGAGAACTTCTCTTTTCTTTTTGATGAATTTGAAGGCGATTTAGGAGCTAAAATAACGTTAAAAAAGCTTTAGTAATCAAATATTACTACAAGATTTAAAATAAATATGTTATATTAATAAGTAAAGGATCAATATAATACTAATATGATAAGCATATAAATTAATTTCGTTTAGTACAGAAAACCAAGGTTAAGTAAACAGCAAGCATCGCTCACCTGTTGGGAGGTACTTAAAGCCTTCAACTCTTGTTGAGATACCTCAATTCTTTCTCGCAAGTTCTCGTTACGCTCAGCAAGAGAATCGCTTTGCCGTAGTGTAGTATCGAGATCGTCCAATGCTTTGAGAGTTTTTACCAAATCCTGTATGACTGGTGAAAAACGCTACTTCTTTACGAGCGGTAAACATAGACACCTGCTGAAAACTACCAAGATTTTCTTGTTTAACTAAAAATTCCCTCCCATGCTTCTCAAGTTCATCAATTTCAGATTTCTCTTGAAGCAAAGACTTTTTTAAATCCTGAATTTCCTAATGTAAACCGTAGAAAAATAAACAAGAAAAACCGAGTAGAGGCAAAAATGTTCTAGGCATAAAGCGGGTCTTAAACAGATATTATCGATGCAAACCTTGTAAACACGTCGAGGAGATTTCACAACTTTCTTTTGCAAGTCAGCAATCGAGTTTTTTGCTTCAAGAATTTGGAACTGAAGATTAGCCTAAAACGAACCGTAAGGCGAGCCTTTGCACGACTACGCAAAAGCTCTAACCAGGTTATCTGCGCAGTTCCCAAGTAGATTCTCTTTAGCGAGAATTTCCTTTTGTAAAAGTACTTGCTGTTCCTTGAGAACGTTGTTTTCTTTATTGTAACCTTCGACTTCTACTTGAACTTCGTCAGCTTGTTTCTCTGCTAATTCCCGTTGAAGGCTTTACAAAGTTAGCTTCTCATAGAAAAGAATGTAGCTAAATATTTAATAGCTTACAGTTGGGAATTTAAGTGCTCTTGTATAGCATACAACTTGGATTTCGCTTCTCGAACAGTGTTTTCATTTACATCCTCAAGCAGTGTTTATAGAATTAATTTAAAAGAATAATAATATTAAAAATCACGGTTTCATCTTGTAAGTTCTGGAACTTTATTAGTTGTGTAGCTCTAAACTTTTTAAAATTGATAAGGGCGCTTAAATTCCGCCTAGTACGCTGGAATTCGGGATGAGTCAGATCCTTTAGAATGAAGTCCTGCACACCGCAGATATTCATTAAGTAAAATCTGAAAATAAGAAGTAAAATCGCATTAATAAACTTTAAGTAAGAAAAAGAAAACTACTTCGAGGAAGTAAAAAATAATGAACTACAAAGCTTTAATCAGCGTTAGTTTAGGAACGGATTCTTCATGTAAACTTGGAAACTCAAAACTTTCTAAAGCTGAAAATTCGAGTTGGCTAAAGTCTGAAGCTTTTATCCCCATTACTTTTTCTACTAATACAAAATAGATTTCCGTAATCTCTTCACGTTGAGGATTTTTATAACTCTTAAAAAAGTAATAATAACGAATATAGTGATATGTTGAAAAAAAAATTTACTTGTTCTGAAAGAGCTATTCCAAAAGTTAGTAGACCCTGAAGAAGTTCCATTTTATTAAGTATAGGAAAAGAAAACTTCATATTTTTATATAATTGTTACAAATTTTTTAACACGAAACAAAATTTTTAACGGAGGCAGCGGTTATAAGCACTTCACCGGGAAGCGCTAACCCCAGCGGGCGGTATAAATTGGAGGGCCTTAACCACTTCCAGTACTCTTCGTATTAAAAATAGTACAATATTTTCTTTCTAACATTCCTTATATCTAAGGTAACGTGTAAAATTACCTTCTGTTGTCTGGAAGCCTTTCTAGCAATTAAGTCGACCTGGTAATATGAGAATATTTGAACTTGACATACATAAATACCTTCAACGGAATTTATAATTCAACTTTTCTAAAAATTTTATTGTAAACCATATTTTGATCTTATCTACATCTTTGTAACTCAATAATTTTATTCTTTGCAAAGTTAGAAAATAGAAAATAACTATTTTAGCATCTACTAGGTTACTGTAAAGGAGGTTCAACCGAAAAAGGTTTCAAGGTAAACTTTAACAATTTAATAACATACAGGCTCTTTTTTTTTGCTTATAATCGGAAGGCCGAAGTTATAAATAACTTAGTACATCAATAGTAATTTATCAAATTAAAAGAAACACAACCAAGGACGGTTTCAAGAGGCTTTTTTAATAATGGTGCCGAGGGTTGGGAAAACGGCTGCTCTAAAACAGTTGAAATTGTAATAAGCAGAGTCCTTGAGGACGCCGCTGATTACCCAACCGTCGGAGACCGAAGAAAAGGGTGGCCTGCCGGCGGAAATCGACCCGCGGACCTTGACTATGCGCGTCAACGCGTTTAACTGCTAAGCCGCGATGGCAACCCAGAACTCTGCCGTCTAGTTTTACATCTTTAACCTGTTAGTTTCTCTTATATCTTAGATTGTGGACCCCTACTTTTTACTAAGGATTTGCTACTTATTTACATATTTATTGCAACAATAACTTTAGTTCCTACTCTATTTTATAATATATACTAAGTCTTAACTATTATTTCATAAATATATTTTTGTTATACTCATCTAACTTACGTATATTATTTATAATTTTTACTCTTTTACTCTATTTACTTATATATTGCTTAACATGTCTCTCGTTTCTTCTGCAAAAGATCTCACAGCCTACATCGCTGGTATACTAACTTTAAATTTAGAAAGATTTAAAATAGCGCCAGAATTAAAAAGCTAGAATTTAATCAATTTGAAAATGTAAGCAAAAACAAGCGAAAAACTATTTCATTTTAAAACCAGAACATATAAATTTTTCCAATTACGAGCTTTACCGGCGAGACAGGACCTACTCAGGGAAAGGGAGAGCAGCCATTATAATTAAAAAGCAGATAGCTCATTCGTTTCTACCGCCTGCCAAGTTAAAATTTATTGAAGCAGTGGCTATCAAGATCAACCCTTATGGCCCAGTGGATGTGATTATCGTTTCGCATATAAGTTTTCGGAACTGCCTTTGTTACCTAAAGAACTGGTCAGAATTTCTAACCATCGCGATATTGTAATTCTTTGCGGGGGTTTGGACTGCAAAGATTTTTCTTGGAATAGTAACGTGGGAAATCCTAATAGAATTGCACTGTACAACTACGCTGAGAAAAGAGATTTCCTTGTTTCCTGTCCTTTAGAACCGACTTACATATCTACGAAAGGGGCATCAGTTGTACTAGACGTTGCCACCACAAAAAATAAAAATTAATTGACATTAAGTTAACCACACGAATGGATTTCTCCTCGGGCTACTACCCTGTGCTCTACGAGATTGGCTTTCAAGTGTTTAGCCCTATGAATTACATAAAGTATACGAATCCCAATTTTCATGCACAACCTAAAGAGGCCTATTTTGATTTTTTTGTCGGGTTTGTTTGCAATTCATCTATCTTAAAAGCTTTGAGAGATTACGTATATAAGTTTTGCCGCTTTATTAAGTCGGTAATCGCGCTTTGCGTCGACAGCCCGTTACCTTAAAGAAAACCGTTTTATATGCTTGACTTATCGTAGTCTCATAGAGGACCGCTATTAAGGAGTTAGATAATAAGGATTGTTCACTTGCTTATATAATTAATCATCTTGGTGTACATTTCACTGGTCTAGATTCAGAAAGGTCTACCTCATAAAGTACGCGAAAACGACCCAGGAGAGATTTACTAGCGGGAAATTCGTTTGTTTTTTGTAAGGGTAATGCCAGTACATCAAAAGTTCCTTTTAAAGATACGTGTGTTGGTTCTAAAGGGCTAGGATCAAGAAAACTATTTTTTTCAGTTTAATTGTGGAGCTAAAGTCTACTAAATTACCCACTTCTATTCCACGAAGATTTTTTGTAGTTCAAATCACCGCAAAAAAGAAATAAAGCTTCACGACATCAAACATAAAGTCTAGTTTTTTAGGTAACAAAGGCAACATTGGGGCTTATACGAAGAAATAATGACCCTGTCCTCTTGACCATATGAGTAGATCTTAATAGTCACCTCTTTAATAAACTGTAAACTACCAAACGATATATATAAATAGGGTTTCTTCTCTTCTCTAGTAGGTCTTGTCACGTAAATGGAAAAAAAAAATCGTTATTATCTTGGTTTTAGAGGTTTTCCAAATACTCTGACAATATCGAATTTCTAACTAATAAAAAGGGGTTAAAAAAACTCTTCTCTTTTCCATAAAGTCCGTCCCGTTCTGTGTAACAAGCGAACCACGGTAAGAGGCTGTCATAACGACTTTATCCGACCATTACTGACATTATCGCTCGGATGTTAATTAAATATTGTTCAAAGTATTTTGTCTTCGCTCTTCTTAGATCTCTTTTAAAGCTTTCAAATAAGCAAGTTTCAACTAAGCAGGCTGTGACATCTTTCACCAAATGGAACAAGAGATAGTTAGGCGAATATACATAAATAAAGTATTTATAGTATTAGTGTCAGATTTGTTTTTAATTTTAAAATAAAAATAAATATATATGTTAGGTAAGTAAATACATAAGCAAATGGTTAAAAATATTTTTAAAAATAATGCAAAGTTAGGGTTGTCGGCTGAAAAAGTTCTGCATCTCCATAGCTAGTTAGAATTAAATACAAAAATTAAAATATTTATTCAATATTTTTAGGTTAAAGATATAAAGATGTAAATAAAGTATAGATATTGGTATAATTTAAGATACAAAATTAATTTTACGAACCAGCTTAAAATTTGGTAGTTTTTAAGGAAGTAAGCAGTTAAGAAAAATTGGGGGTTTGGGAGATATCACTAAATTTCGGACGTAATGCAGAGCGCCATGTGGGCTACCTCCCGAATACCTCTGTGCTTTGCCGTTTCTGCTGTTACTTTAAATTACTTTACTGCCTCGTCTTTACGGACAGCTTATTTATGTATTTGTTGTTAATGTGTGAAATATTTAAATCATGACTTCGGTACTTTTTTTTATGTATTATCCTTTAGACTTATCCTTTTCTATTTGTTTGGTTCCTGCTCAGGTTCATGTAGCTTTAGCGCAGGCCCATAAGTCGACTGATACAACCCAGAGATTGCATAATTTAAAAATTGTGGAAGCCATTTTACTTGAGCAAGTATTGAATATGCATGTTACCTAAATATCTATTTAATGTTATATTTTTCTTTACAAAAGAAACAGGAAGTTACTTTAAATAACATTGAAAGTGTTTTGTTGTTTTACACCGACTCTGAAAATTCCTTACAACTATTTGTATTGTCTTTTATTGAAAAGTTATGGTATGAATTATTAAAAAGTTTTTTATATAACCACTTACCGATATTAATTATTTTATAGTTCTTTATATGTCGAGGTCGCTTGCATTCCCGCTCTTCAAACCTTGCTGAAGTTTTACAACACCCATCCCTCTCCTGTTTTGCAGAAAAGAGCTATTTTGACACTTTGTTCAATTTACAAGCCTATATTTCAATGGATTAGCGCCTCTGCTAAGGTAAAAACGAAAGCTGGCGCTCCTTGTAGGATTTTAAGTTTCTAGGTTTAAAGTTTTTCCTTGAACTTCTCCATTAGGTAATGTAAGTGAGGATAGAGCGCTATATGTAACAATGGAAGAAATATATATAATGTTACTCGTAGCAAATGGCCTTACAAATTATGTTAGCCTTTTTATAGTCAGATTATAGCTTTATTAATTATTATGCCACACTGAATATTTTAATAATAGGGCGTAAACAACTCTTAGGCACACACTAGTAGATCCGCTTTACGTTTAATGACCAAATACTACTATAAATAATATGCCATTTACCTAATAATTTTATCTTTTGTATTTTATTGAGTCCGGCTTGGTTGGCGAACTGCTTGTGGGTTATAAGATTAATTTTGTTAGAGGTGGAGGAGCGACCTTGAAGCTGTTTGTACTTAGTGAGTTGGGTGGGAATGTATAAGTTACAAAAGAGTCGTTGAACGTAGAAGTAAGGTTTTCTACTTGCCAAAAATATTATTTGAGCTCGCTGTCCATGGTTACTAAAAAGATGGAATAAAGTTTTCATGTTTTGCTTTTGCAATAAGCGTGTACTTGCGTTCACTTTCGGAGTAAAAAAAGGGTAAACAAAAGATAGACAATTAATTTTGTTTTTTACCCTTGAGTTAAATTGCTCCCCCTATAATAAATGCGGGCTTAAAAAAAAATTGGCTTTTTATTACTAGGAAAACTAGTATTATAAAATGACAAAAATTACAATGTTTAGGACTTAATTTTAAGGTTTAAAAAGAATTAAGTTGATTTGAAACGTGTTAAAAGACTTAATTTTTATAAATTTTTTTTTGAAGGTTTACTAGAGAATATTTAGCTTCCTTTCGCAGGTCTTTATAAAGACTACTCGTCTGGTGGGGAATTAAGACGTTTATTATATTTATTGTGTCCCTTTTGTTCAGCTTAGGATTATTAATAGTGGCGGATGCAACAGACTTTCACCTTTACAGTTTTACACTAATAAGCCAAGTTTATTAGTATAGAGTAATATCTTGATTTTCTAGGTAGCGGCCGTCCACAGAAAAGCGTGGGAACTACTTTGTGTTCTTCGAGATCGCATAGTTCATCTGGTATATTCATTTGTTTTGTTAAGTAAACACTATCGAGCAACCTTTTACTTTTCTTTGCGACTTATTCACTCAGATCCCCTCTTCTGTCCCCGAAGCTGTGCGTCTCTCGATCTATAAATACATTCAGCGCGTAATTTTGGTCCAGACTCCTGTTTCGTTTGAAGTCAGAGACCGTGGCGCCTCTCAAACTGAAGACAATCTTAATTTTAACGTCAGTACTCTTCCTTACGACCATTCCCTGCTCTCCCGAGCGGATTTAGTTACAGAGGTATATATTAACTGTTTATTATAGGCCGCTATATGTTTTGATAACTCCTATCTTGCGTTTGTTTTATAAATGCCTCTTTTTGAAATCTTTTTTAGTTTTATAATTGGCAGTCCAAGTTGTGTTCACCGAATAACGCTTACATCTTTTATTTTTTATTCTTTTAAGGCGAACTCTTATGTTTCTTTACTTATAAATTATCTTCGGAATCCCGTTTCTGCCACTTCTTTAATTGTTTTAACTAATCTTCTGTCTGGTATATATCTTATTTATTAATATATAAACCACTTTTTGTGTAACTTAGAGGGCTTAGAAACTAAAGTTTTGTAAATATTTAAATGAGGAACTCACCGTTTATTATTGTTTCTTACCGGTATAGTTTTATAATCATTTAAGTTATGAACTTTTTGAGCCTTTCTTGTTCTCGGTTGGTAACTGTAGAGCAGTAGTAGTTTAACTCACTATAACGACCAATAAGCTTATCTAATATGTTTGATCTAATTCATACTTCCAGAGATTGCGCGAAAGCGGCCCGACTATTACTTGCCACGGGTCTTGCAATCACTTATCCGGTTATGCCAGGCCTTCCCTGCTTTTCAACCTTACCAGCTTGTCTCTCTTAAGAAGCAAATAAAAGTTCACTTTATGGCTCTTCGGAGCGTGCCGCTTGCCAAAGACTTTTACTCGCAAATCTCTGCCATCATAGAGTATTTTTTTATTTGTTTCAGTGGACAACCTTAATTTTCTGGAATCAAAGATCCTTTGGAGGAAACAAGGCAGGGAAACCTCTGTATCTTGAGCCCGGAGGTTTGTACTTCTTTTTTTTCTTTTCTTTTTTTACTTTTTTATTACATATGCAGCCAGGGAAAAGCGATTGCGGGAGGAGAGCTCCGAGCGGCTGCGGCCAAAGCGCACAAAGCCAGCGACTACTTGTACTAATGCTAGTTCTGAATCCTGCGCGCTTCCGTATATTCTGCGTTATATAGCAGGCTCCTCTGCACAGCTGTTGATGCGTTTGGATGGCTTACCTCATCACGTGATAGTTGACCTGTTGTTAGCTCACCTTGCCCGGCTCCCGACCTCTATGCCAGCGTCCTTTCCTCAAGTACTACGGCATTTTTTCTTTTTTATTTATTGACGTTCTCTTAGTGTACGAAGTAGATTATGACGGTGGCTCAGTTATATACAATCTCAAGCGCAACTCACAAAACCGAGCGCGCTTTTTCAAACGGAGTGCAAACGAGCAATCTGAAAACACATATAGATTTAAACTTAAAATGCGTTCAAAATGTCGAAGATTCCTCGGGTCCCGCCGGGCCTGCGAGGGTGCTAGAACCTGCCACGGTATTCTGTCTGTTGTGTTCTAAAATGAAAGCCCTTTCAGCTTGTGCATAGGGGGCCGATCCGAAGTCTAAGCATACTCCCTTTAAAGTAAAGCCAGTTCCCCTAAAAAACTGCGACAAGTTGGCAGCCTTCAGTCGTCTATTAGATTCGGAAAACGACTTGTTTTTGGTAGTTCTACTTGCGCGCTGCTCTTCCTCTTCTTCTAACTTCTAATTCACTTTAGCAGAGCGGCGCAAGGAAGATAAGGCGCGCTCTTCTCGCTAAACTAGCACAGGTCCAACAGGTGTTTGAGAAGTATAAGGATCCCGCCCATAGCGACTTCAACGTTATCCTAGTTTCTTCTATTCTGCGTTGTTACTCATTTTTTCTAAAGGACTTTACTGTGCTGCTGAGAGATGTCCTTACAAAGGATATAAGGAAGCATCAGACACTCGCCGTGGCATGGTTATACGAGGAGTACACCTCTGCCATGCACAAGCGCAGGTTTGGTGACGTAAGTTTTTTTCTTTCACCTTCTCCCCCGTGCGTCGTGTGTTTACACTTTTTACTAGAAAGAGATTCCCACTGCCTTGTGTGCCGGCTCGGGGTTTGCTATTGAGGAGGCGCCTACAAACTCTTTTAAAGTAGACATAAACACGACAGACCTTGAAGGGGCAGCCGGGCAAATGTCACGGGGCGCCCCTCCCCAGTACCTTGAGCGGTACTTGGCATGCTACGACTTTATTGTCAAAATTGTCAAGGGAATTGTTAACAACGAGCATCGGGAGACGCTCTTTAGACGGTTTTTACTGGAAGTCCCGGAGGTCATCTGTATCCATTGTTTCGGCTCTCCCCTCTTTATATGCGCTGGTTAGGTTTCCATCGAAGCCTTCAAGGCTATTGAAGAGTTTTGCAATGACGAATACCGCGCGAAGTTCGGGTATACTTATCTTTGGGTAGTGCGGCACGCTCTTTCCAATAGTCAAGCACTGACAGGTTTGAGTCGTTATATGAACTCGTTTTGTATCGACCCCGGTACCGCGCTTACTCTCTCAACACTTTGCTTGCCTTCACAATCATAGAAAAGTAAAACTTTAGTTTTGCTGCTGTATTATTGCGTCATGTCTTCTTCTTTGTGCCCTCGCAGAAAACTCATCCGATCTCTCTCCGGGCAAGTCTGCGTTCGCCTTTGTGCAATAGACGGTGATATCAAGGCCAAAATTTGCAATTTTGCGATGAAGTGTTTGCGCTACTTAGAGCGCGAGCCGCCAGATGACGTGCAGGCATTTGTCTTCTTCACTCACGTGCCATATCTCGATACTAATCATAGTAAAGGAAGAGAGGAGCGCCGATGACAGCGTTGAGCAACCCTCAGCAGGAGATGCAATTTCTACTGATCCATCCACCCAGGAGTCTGCTGACCGTCCGTCTAAAAGGTGGCCCCTTGAGTCGGTTCAGGCTTACTCCTCCCTCTTCTTTGCTCTTTGCATGGAAACCCCTGAATTTCTGAAAAGGTTACTTTTGCATTATGCGTGAGGATAACTTTGTCGCCTACTGTAATATTTTATAGTCTTCTTCCCGTTTATGCGCAAGTGAAAAGCGAGGTTCAACGTGGGTTTCTGCAGGCGGTTCGCACTCATTACTATCTTTACCAGTGCGTTGGGTCAGGCTGCGGCTAACAACGTGCAGGTCACACCCGTCGTCCTTAACTTCCACTCGGACGCCATTTTCCAGAAACTTTTCCAGAATGCGCCCGAAAATTCTTATCAGCTGCTTCTTTTTATGCTTGAAATATACACAAAGCATGGTATTCTTATAAAAATGCTGCTATACTATGATGTTATCTGTTCAGAGCCCCCGAGCGAGGCGCTTGTGGACTGTATCCAAGAGTTATACGCCAGACAGAAGTACCCCGCGGATATATTAATACCAGTTATAACGAAATTACCAAAGGTATTTGCATAGAGGAGCACCGGTTAATGTCTTAATGAATATTTTTGCTATGCCAGAAAGATATACTTTCCGCGCTACCGAAGCTTGTTTTGCTTCGAGAAAAAGCAACGCTGAAGTGGATGTCCTATTTGCTGGAAAGGCGGTACGAGGGAGTGGCGCCGCCCATTTCGCCTACCGACTTCCTTTTAGCCGTGCACGACATTTCTGTGACCCAGCTGACTAGAGACGGTCTGCGCTACGGTAGGCTTGTTGCACAGATAGTGGCGTTCGATGCAAAACATATACTTCTACACGAGCAGTGCATAGCCACTGCTTTGAGATGAGGAGCGTTTTTACCCAGGAAGTGCTTGCAAACGTTATACAACGGCTTGTGGACCGCTCGACCCTTCCCAATCTGTTGATGCCAACCGTATCTCTTTTTCCTCGATATTCACAGGGAGAGACCTGAGACCTTTTCCCCTGCAGATCATCAAAGCGCTCCTCACATGGCCTAGCCTATCCAACTTTGTAGTGAATGTCCTGCGGCGGATGGTGAGCAAGTCGATTTGGCAGTACACAAGCCTCTACAAGTCATTTGTCAAGACGTGTTTTGTTCGTACTTCTTTTTCTACATCCACTCGTTAGTCCAACTTCCCTCGCACGTAGAAAATGGGTCAAAGCGGCTACAACATTCTTCTAGAACTCCCGCCACGTGCTTTAGAGTCTGCCTTCAGCGTACGATGTCTTTTCTGTTTGCATTTTGCTCGCCTCACAGCTTTTTTAGCTCCATAGCGACTACCGCAGGACATTAGCTGCCTACCTGGAGCTACATCCGACCCTGAATGTTCCAGAGTCTACCAAGAAGCTTGTCCTTGAAAGTTAGGCTTAGCGCCCCGGCTGTTGCTTTTCCTAAGATTCTAAGAGGTTAGCACCCAAGAGCATTGATGTGGAGGTCGGATTTAGCCATGTGCTCTCCCTGCTAATGGCATTTCATGCCGTGAGGACCAGAAATAAAGTACGAGAATCGTTTATTTTGTCGACTGCTACTTTTGCCACGTGGTGGGAAGCGGTAGGATTTATAACCATACAGGCCTTCCAACGATCACGGTATCGCTGCCGTACTGGCTAGAGGCCACGTTGACTAGTCTCGGCAGATTGGCGTGGGGCTTCTAAGCAAGATTAACTGTTACTTCGCCTAACCAACATGCCATAATAAACTTTTATTACTTTAACTGATTTGAGTCCTCCAATAAATCTGGGCGAGATGGTTATGACGCACTTATTTACCAGCTTACTCTCAAGGAACGATTCGATGACTGTCGCGCCTCCCTACAGTTGGGGGATATATCCCCTTTAAGAGTTACGCAACCGCCTCGTAAGCACATAAGACTCACCTCCACCATAACAGAGTGCAACTCAAGTTTTTTTAACGTCTCCAAGATCTCACGTAGATCCAGTGATCGGTTAGTCTGCACGACTGGTAGCACAGTAGCCCCAACTTTTTCAAGAATCTTAAAAAACATAGTAATCTTTTAGCAAAGTTAACCACTGGCAAGAAAAAACCTTTTTTTTAGAAATATCGTGATTTTTAGAGCAGAATATTATAGGAGCTCGTCTTAAGATGTGGGACTCAAGTGGTATTTTTAAAAAAGAGTCCAGCACAACAGGTCGCGGACTTTCCCCTGTTACTAAACGAACTTCTTCCCAGAAAAATATGCATGAATTTCGCGTGGCACTAGATAAAAGGACACGTGCCTGTTAGCTGCGGATTATCGGAAAGAACAGTGTTAATTCCGACCAGGATAGCACTATGAGCTGCCCGTAAACTAGAAAAAAGGATTCCCTTAGTTAATTCGCTGGGTGCACGTGATCCAGCCTAACCTGTGCGTCATCTTTGCAGATTCGAGACAGCTGATATCGAGCGGCCTCCGGTCAGAAGAGGCAATTGAGCCGTCTATACTCTGCAAAGGGAAGTATAAAAAAGGAACAAGTTTATAGTCGTTCCCGAACGGACCTGCGCATAGGAGAGCGTGATAAAGGGAAATTTTGAATTGCCCGAATGGCAGACACAAGACTTGTCAGGATCCGTGCTGCCATTGCAAGAACTGCCAACTTCCAACAGTTCTGAATCCGCCAAATGAGTAGGGAATTTGCTACTAATATATTAAATTTAATAAATGCCGAGAAAATGTAAATGCAAGGTTAGAACAGATCTGTAAAATTGTAGAAAATGTAAAGTGCTAACGAGTTGTGATTAAAACATTGCTTTGTAAAAGTGCTCCGTTGCAAGGACTTATTTCCTTCCTTTAATGGCCTTAAATCCTCTAAGCTTTAGTTATTTAGAAAAAAAAATAAATAATATATAATTATAAGCATCTATATATAACCTTGTAATTTAAGCAAGTTTCGAAAAAAACTAAATGGTATATGGTATGTATCCCATATAATTATGAACAGAAGTAGGAACACTCATGTAGAAAAATTATATTGCGAAGAAGTAAAACTTTAGGACTTTTACAAGTGTACCAAATTCAATTAACAACACAAAGTTTTTAGGAGTTAAGAACTTTTTTCTTATATTTAATAAAGCTGTTGATGGCAAATAGAAGTTTATAAAAGAATAAAAGGGATTATACAGTAAGAGTGTAAGCTACCTAATAGAATGGTGCATTCGCTCAACTTTAGTCGTCAAATACTTAAGAGTCTCTTCTGTTATCTTAAATAATAAATTATCGACAGCCAGACTTAAGAGAGTAGGTAAAAATTACTTTAGTGGCAATCGTGGGAATCTGATCCACAACTTTCACGCCCTGTTGCCTTAGTGAGTCTTTAACAGCAAGAAGGAAATACGTTGAACGATACCTTATACTTGGTAAGTACAAAAATATAGTACCAATTTTAGCAGGATTATTGCTCATAATACGGATAGAGTTAACCTCCAAATCGTTAAGTATGAAACGGGCAATCTCATATGTTCGTTCATCACACTTACGGTATAGAGTAAAAGTAATTAATTTTTTATTCTATAAACATACCCAGGCGTTAAAACAAACTTTAAATCCCAAAAGACAGTTTGCTTCCAGGGTGTCATAACCTAAATCCTGGAGATTGTAGGCTCTGAAAGGGTATAATAAAAATATAATATTAGGTAATACGAAAGTTTAACGAACCTCAACTTTTGTAATAATCCAATCCCTCTACCTTCCTGACGAAGAAAAATTAAAACACCACATCCTTAAAAAGAATTTTTATTTAATTATTCTTGCTAGTAATATTCGTTAAAAGTTGCCTTCTTGAGAAATTTTGTGTAACGCTGTTCTGAGTTGTTCACCGCAGTCACACCTGCAGCTGCCAAGAACCTCACCTTTTTAGTATATAAAAAAAAAAAGACGAATGATACATATATAACTTTTAATTATCAGTAAAATTAGTAAACTATTCTTAAAGTAGAATGAGAACCAGTAAAACACTCGGAATGTACTCGTACGCATAAATTATCCGAGCCTTTTATTTTATCGAGGCCCCCATAACAGATCGCCAAATGTTCTTTGGTATCCTTAAAATTTAAGCATGTTATTATCACAATATCATTAAATATATGAAAGAGGAGTATTAGTTATATTTACTCATTTATAGAGGAATATACCTCATCATTTGTATACAAAACTACTTCAAAAACGCCAAAAATTAGTGGAATTCGAGCAACTACGGCGCGGTTAATCATTAAGGATGGTAGAAGACTGCTAGCAACATTACCAGCATTCACGCAGATTGGTTATTGTCCACAGTTTTGTTTATATACTACATCCTGCATAAAGTGAACGATTGTTTCGTCACTATAAACATTTTTTAGTTAATGTAAATTAAGTTTTCAGCCAATGTAAATATATTACATTAAAGACTGTGTATTTTTTAAAAATTTTGATACACTCTATAAAATATATGCCGTTAATTCGCTGAGAGGTTTTGTGGACTTTAAAAACGTCAGATGTGCTTATAAGTCCTATATTTCAATAGTATTAGTATGTGAATGGAGTATGAGCTGTTTAATATATTTTAAACAAATTTTATACATAGAACTTTCACTATTTATTCACTTTCCACTGTTTAAGTTATTGTCCTTCTCTTTAGCAGACCGTCCGTTTATATAAGCATAAAAGCATACACAGAATAGGGTGTAAAACAGCTTGTAAAAGTTAAGCATGTTAAAATGTGTAACGATACCGCATGAGGTGCATTACTTACCATAATAAATTAGTGTTAATAACAAACTTAACTGGTAAAAAAGCGGTATTGTGTTATATATAAAAGTAAGGCTTTTTAATTAGTTTTCCATATACTCAGCAAAACTCTTATCCTACTAAACAGTAGTGTCTCGAGATAATACGTTAAAACGATTATATACACCAATTAAGCATTCTTCTGTTTGAATGCTGTCAAAATATTTAATTACAGTAAGTTTATGGCTGTTTTGCTACCTTTCATGTCCTTATAGCTTACAATTTTATTTATTACTTGGGATGATAATTTAGTTAAAAACCAAATAGCCAATAACACTGCCTATATTTTTATTTTTAAAAGATAAGATATTTTATTTATTTTTTTATTTAAATAATAAGCGCAATTAAAACTAAAGTGTTTTCAATGCATTTTGATAATTACAGTCGCACGAGATGTGAGAATAATGTTCCAACTTTACTAAATTATGTTAGGGCAGTTTAGGTTTTGGGTGGTTAGTAAAGCAAGAAAAAAACTAGTAAGAAACTAACGCCTTAACCAGATTCTTTTGATGTACCCATTTGTCCGAAAGTATATTTGGCTAAACACCCTATAAAAACTTTATGAACTCGACTTTAAACCCTTTGCGCGTGGAGCACTGCTGATAAATTACGGTGCGTTAATCAGGCTTGTAGCTTATTCTGGTAGTGTAAACAAATAAGTTTAAGAGAGCTCCCCCCCAGGCAAGAGGGATATACATTAAGGTGGGAGGGGGGATTGTTGCGTGCACCTATAACATTTTTTATAGTGAAGAATCTACTTTTCCTGTACTTTTCCTGTTTAACCCTTTAACGTGCAAAATTCTGGGGCTTAAAATAGATTTGTTTTACGTTCTCTGGTAACTAATTTTACCACTTTTCTTTGTTTTGCTGGTTGCTGCTTAATCCGTTAGGATATGTTTTCTTTTGCTCAAACTTACACAGATCGTTTCGAAGACCGAGCCTGTCGTTTAGTGTCAATTTCCTTAGACCGACTATTGCAAAATGAGCCTATGTTACAGAAAATAAACATAGTAATCAGTAACCTGTAAGGGGTTAAAACAGGCGTAAAAAGAGGTCACAGCTTTTTTAACTTCCTTAATATTATAAGCTGTGTATATTTTAACTTATTCTTTTGTCTACATAAATCCTTAATATAATAAATCCTTGATATATAATACCTAGAAAAGTTAGGTGTCGTCTTTGTAAGTTTAAGGCCTTTGTCTACTGGCTCTTCCGCTTAAAAACAAATTAACCTTTTGTTCTAATCACATTAAATTTTACTTCAATTTTTAAATACCCTGCTATTTTATAAAGAGAGGAACCAAGATCCTAAGTGGATTAAAGCAAAGTTTTAGTAGAGGAAATATTGCAAGGTTATCATTGAATAATACTATCACCCGAGGGTAAATTCCTCTTATGGATTGTAAAGGCACTGAAAAGGTATGACTTGGGAAATACCTCGAAATGAAGGGTAGATTTCGAATAAGGCGGCTATATTTAACTGAAAATTTTCAAAATTTAAAAAGTTGTTAATAAATTTAACTTCCAAATTTTGTTAAACGCTTTTTTGACACTGTTAGATTTCCATCACGCCAGAAAGGGGAAGGAAATCATTTATTAAGGTTTTAAATCCTAACAGGCACCAAGAGGGTTGATCCCCATGATAAATTTGCAAATAATATCTCTAGTTACTTATCACATATGGGTAGAATTATAAAGTAGATTGCCATATTTCTCTGTTTAATTGGCGTTTGGTAACCATATAGCCTTTTAAATTTACAATTATTTACTGGCAACGGATGATAGACTGATAAGACAATAGGTATTTTTATCTTAAAAAAGAAAAACTTTTGGAACCGGCTACTTTCCAGCAATCGAGAAAAACACAAAGTTTCAGTGGAGCACTATAACTCGTAGTAGCCAGGGGTGACTTTAAAAGCTCTCCTTAGCTTCCTTTTTTAGATTTTTGTTTGATAAGTTGGGTTCTTAGCACATTCTAAGAAAACACGTAAAAGAATTGTTAAAGATAACATCTGAAGGCCAATGTATAGACACCCTTTCAGAAAGATTAGATGGCCCATAGTAATCCCATAATCCTATTTTTCTGCCCTATAAAAACGCTAGCATCCAAGTACGTGAACTGAAACCTTCTTGTGTTTTATAAAGAGAAACTTTTCTTTTGATAAAGGTAGTTTAAGCTTTTTAGTGCGAGTTTTATATGTCCCTCACCGTTATAACGTAGCTATTGGCCTAGCAGAGAAGTCGCATACGAGATATAGGGTTTGGAGTGTACCAAGTAAATTATAGTAATGTTCGCTAGTGCTTCCTTCAATGGAAAGCTTAGGTTTGGCGCTGATTGGTATGGGTAACTTAAATTTAGTGTTTAGGTTAAGGGTTATTTCTGTATAAATTGATCAATATTAAGGTTTAAAGGATTTGTTAATTTGGTCGCATCCTTTAATATCATTTTCCTTTTCTAAATTTCTTATGTATTGTGGTCTTAAATAATTCATAAATTCTTATGATAGTGGCATAAATATTCAAATAAAAATTACATTTGTCGGTTTTATTAATTGGTAGCCATATTTTTAGTCTACAAGGGAATATCTTAGTCTTGCAGATTCCTTCAGGTCGTTAAGAGCAACACTATTATTAAGATCTAATATCTTTTTCTGTAGAGTGAGCTATTGTGAGAAGCCTAATTTGTCCACGATTAGGTACAGAACTTCTGTTGTGTGCACATAAATCTGATTTTGTACCTTTCTATTTAAAAGCTGTTGCTATATTAGCAGAGTGGAATGGGCATTTCCATATTTAGTAATGAAAAAATAATGGGATAGACGACTTTAAAGGAAATCAGGTAGCTAGCTTTCATTTAAAAAACTCGCTGCTTATATCCGTTCTTGTGCCCTCTATGACTGCAGTGGAAGTGTTTACCAATAATTCTAGATTTTTAATATATTTGTAGTCTGAGTCATTAGGCTGGTAACTGCTCGAGCTTCAGTTTATCCTTAAACGGTAATGTTGTAACACCGTTTGGAACCTGGCATTAGTACCAACTAATACGTATCGGTGTCACGAAAGCGAATGTCTCAATACGTAGCATCAATTATTGTTCTGGTTTTTGTTCATCCTAGGTTATGCTTATCTTATCTACCTTCAATTTGCACTCTAGACCAAGTTCACTCTTTATTATTAGAATTCGATGTGTAGTTGCTAATTTTTTTTTATGGTATTAATACATGGTGTGTTCCTATTTGTAGAGTTAAAGTGTACCTACGTCTTGAAAATAATATGCGTAAAAAATAGGCGCCAAGACGGCAGAACGAGGTGAACAGAAAGAGAAAGTTATTTATTGAGCTACTCAGAGAGAATTTATAGTATTTACATGTTCCTTTTTCACTCGTAGATTGTTATAAGATAGTTATAATCTAACATGTTGTAAGTTACTGCTCTAAGATCGCTGTGATCGCAGCCCAATGAAGGATGACCGCGGACAAGCACTTTCGGAGCATCAAGAACGAGCATTAATGTCCCTTACACATAATTTATTCAGGCCTTAACTATAGGATTTGATAGGAGAATGAATAGTATAAAAAAGGGTTAAAAATTGTGAAATAGGTAGAAAATTTTAAGGAGAGACCATGTTAAAGGGTTTGAAAGATGTTCAGTTATAGATGTGAAAAAAAAAATTTACACTTCTCGAGGATATGTTAAATGCACGGTTAAAGCTTATAATTCATATTTCCGAAAAGAACAATCTACATAAAGTTTAGCTCTTTACCAACAGAGTGGAAGAGGGTATAAATACGATGGGAGACCATTAGAGCATTATTATTGTAATAAACCTAAGAGCATTGGGAAGCACTCGATGCTTTGTTACAAGCGGAAAACAGATATAAATTGTTGAAAACAACTCTAATGCTTTATTCTTTAATACTACAAGTATTTAACTCTCGAACGAGAGGGAGCAAACTTTTTAAAAGTAGCGAACGACATGCTTCGTGCAAAGATCGTAAGGATCAACATTTGAGATCATAGTGTCCGTCTCAAAAATTATACAGTTTTGAGGTAAAATTGAATATGTAAAGAGGCACGCTTTAACAAAAAAAACCTTGTATAGCCCAATTTATTACTTTAAAAAATCTTTAAACCTTAAAATTAAAATGGTTGTAGTTGCCTATCCTCAATATGTAGAGTTAGATTTCTGGCTGATAGCTGGTGTGATGAAAACGTTGTAAACACAATGTGGCAGCAGTGAAGTTTACTCAGCTGGTTACGTTAATTATAGAAAAGTTTATCTTATAGCTGTTCATTATAAAGATAGTAAAATTTATTATAAAAAAATTATTACTTATGGAAAAGAGAAAAAATGGCTATTTATTTTATAAATGATAATAACAAATGTATACAGCATTGTCTTAATACATTTAATTTAATGGGGCGTAATTTAGTAAGTTCGAAAGAACATTTTAAATA